TTAAGTGAAATGTAAAATTTAAGGTTAGAGCTTATAACTCTAAATTCCATCCATTCATCAACTGAAGTTACATTTTCCCTTCACCAAACTGAGCAGTGGAAACTTTTAACAATCAGGGCTCAGGAAAATTGACACAAGAACACAATAACTGAAAACTTGTCACATCTGAAAATTTCATCCCTATGCATACATATGCCTCCCCGATGAATCACAGAAATACACAAACCAAATCTTGTTATGGGGCAAACTGTGAAGTCATTTACTTGCCAAGCCATGTAAATACAATACAGCAGTATTACAATTAGCACATGTATGGGTGTCTTTGTGCTATAACAGCTTTCAAAGTCTGCTTCTACAAGGACCTACTATAGCTCCTTCTTCCAGCACTTGTCGAGACAAACCACATGAATCCTGCCCTCGAAAATCCATGTCCTAGATGGTCTCTAAAGAACACGATAAGATGATTAAATTATTGCACTTAGCAAGGTTTTCTTTTACCCGCCAAATCATGTGTTACCAGAGGCATCTGCAGCCGGCAGCTTTCTGTTAAGGTAGCGAATAACAGCATCCTCAACCCTGTAAAGAGGCATTTTGAAACATTTTTAATATACCTACATATTATTCGAAAAGTCAGGCAAGTCTGAAATTTTAGCAGGCGTAAAATACATTTTGTTAAAAAGAAAAGTAAAAAAAAAAATTACAACACTTATTTCTTACACAGATAAATAAACTACACATCGCAAAAGAGAACCATGACCAAGATACCGACTAAAATCAGGGACTCAAAGTTGCGAAAGGCATTCCCACCTACAAAATTGCTAATCAATTTATGTTTAGACCAAAAATCAACCTACCCACAGCTTACAATATTTGGATTCCAGTTCCTGTGTAGCAGAACTTCAATGAATAATAGCACACTTTGAAAAAGAAAAGATAAAGTGTAGCAATTAAATGAATGGGAAACACAAATAAAAACCATACCATGGCTGGTTGAAGAATTCCGAATGGCGCTCTTTCTCAGCATTACGGCTAGCCTCCCCAGCAATTGCCTTCAGATCCTTATTCTGTGAATCTATCAGAGCATTAATAAACTCAACCGGTGACTGACTAAATCCGAGAAAGAAAGCCCTCCTCCGCCTGTGCTCGTGTATCTTTCTTATGGCGGCACAGATCGCCTCATCACAAGCATCTATCTCCTTAGTCTTCTCGGTATTTGCTAGCAAAACATTCAACTCCCTCTGTATAGGAAAAGGGACATCCACCTGAACATCATAGCACGCGGACCCAACCGGGCTATTTCCCTGGAGCTTAATCCTGTGCTCCAAATGTATCGGCTGAGGAGGGAAAAGGTGGGACGTGATTTTCTGCGTGACAGCTGTGAATTTGATTTTACTTTCCCCGAACACCTTCTGGAGTGGAGGATCACAGTTGAAAGATGAAGGGTCATCGGGGCACTGGAGTTTTCGAGCCTTCACATAATGCCAAACTCCCGCCATGATCCGCGCACGAGTTTCAACTTCAATACCCAGAAGATCGGTCAGGGCTGCTGAGAGCTTGAACTTCTCAGGCGTGTAATTCATCTCCAGCCTTATGCTGGCAGTGAACTCTTGATCCCCCTTTCGTTTGACCTCAAACCCCTCGTGAGGGGCGGGCGACCGGGCCCCGTCCCATATAATCAGGTGGTTGTCCGGATACACCTTTTGGTCAAGCGTGATCGTGACCCGCTTAAAGAATGACGAGAATTTCGGATACATGGGGTTCTGCTTCTGGGCCATGGCAGGACCCACCGCCTGGTCCGGGTCCACACCCTCTTCCAGAAGCCGCCCCACGATCTTGAGGGTCCATGTGGGAGGCTCAGCGTTTGGTTTCTTGGGGACTGTGCGGATTTGGTTTGCAAAAGTATTGAACACATAAATCCGGAGGGTTTTCTGGATATAGGACGGTGTCTTTAGGGCCTCTTGGATGTCGATCTTTTTCCGGATGAGAGCAGCATCCACGCGGGATTCAAACTCAAGAAGCTGAGTGTATAGAGCTGACTCGGGCAAAATGGCCGCAACTCGCTCCTGGAGCTGTTTTTCTGGAAGCTTCTGCTTTTTCCGGCGAGCGGCAGGCGAGGCATCCATCATCCTCATTGGTGAGGCCATGTTGGGAGTTGGGAAATTCGGGGGCCGGACAGGCGGTTTTTGAGGGAACCGCTTAGCGCTGGGATTCCCGGCACCTGAAACGGATGGGGACTGGGAGCCAAGATTGGGGATCCCACCAGGAAGGCCCTGGTTGAACGAGAGCCCCTGAGCGGCTTGCAGTTGAGCCTGCATCTGCGCGTGGGCCGCCATCATTTGTGCGTGGGCATGTGCCTGGGCCTGTGCTTGAGCTTTGGACTGGGCCTGGGCGAGGGCTTGGACTTGTGCTTCAGAAAACTGGAACTGGCCGGGGAAGCCAGGTCCCAGTTGTTGCTGGGCCGAAGGATTTACGGACATGGAGTTTCCAAAAGGGGAAGGAGCGCCAATGTTCTTCTGAGGGTGGTTGTTATTAGCAGACATGGCTGATATATCTAAAAGCAAATGATAAGGGATGATCAACATGCAATCTACTTTGGAGATTTACAGGAAATAATCTGGAATTTTCGCATGAATTTGATTATCGGGTGTAAAATTAAAACGGCCACAACAAGCAATATCATCAGAGCCAACGGGGTAAAGAAGATGGAAAATACAAACCAAAAACCAACAAGAAACAAACGTTTCAGGTAAACTGAGCTCAATTTTGCAATATTCATAAGCTTCGTCCAAATTTTGGATAACTTGTTCACACAAAATAGCCAAACAAGCAGAGGTTTTGCGAAAACCCTAAATCTAAACCTCACTCGTAAACAACTACAAATTCAACCTCAAAAAGGGAAAAAAATAACGAACAAATCAGGAAATCATAGTTTGGATCTAACGAAAGTCGATTTCCTGAAACCAAAAAGCTAAATAAACATCTTCTCGCTAAATTCAGATTACATTACGCATACAAATTCAACATATACACGCTAATTTAACATCTGAATAATGAAAAAAATTGTAAGAATCTTGAATTGAAAGCTGAGATCGAAACCTTAGCGAAAAAAATCAGCAAGAGCGGATTTCCTGTGGCCGAGCCTGCAGTGTGTTCCCCGTTTGGTAGCTCGCCAGAGTCAGCTGCTCATAGTGAGAGTGGATGTGCAAGTTCTTTCATCTGGTTGTTCGATTGTCTTGTTATGATGGGCCTTGAAGAGATTTTGGGCCATATGTTAATGGGCTGGTGGTCATTGGGCTGGAGATCAAAGCTTATCTGTTGTTAGGCCAATTTACACAATCGCCATGTGATTTGAAAGTAAATGCATATAAAAGATGGATAATGTTCCCCTACCCACGGTGGGCACATATTAATATGTCCATCGTTTATGTGGCATGCACATATTGGTGATGTTAATATGTTCAAAAAATACATCACCAATGTGTGCATGCCACATAAGCGGCGGACATATTAACATGTGCCCACCGTGGGTAGGTATAAAAGATTGGGAAGAAAATATTAGCAACGATACAATATCATCTCCAATCCCCTATATATCTCATCCCTATGTATTAATTCAGAATTGAGTCTAAGTGGCATGCTCGTATGCTTCGGAGTCCTACTTGACAAAATTACATGCTTCGTTTAGGCTTTGATAGATTTTAATTTATTTTCAATTAAAATAATAATAAGGACCGGATTATCCATAAATATGTTGATTATTTATGGTCATATTATTATAACCATTTAATCTTAAATGTATTTTAAAAGTTAAAAACGTTTGTATTTTTTAGCAGTGTTACATATAATATATCAAATTAATCATCTCTTGATGAGCTTCGATTTAATATCCATATTGTATGTATAAAAAAATAAATTATATTTATTTTTATAACAATAATAAAATTAGTTTTTAATATTAATTAGAAAAATAAAATTATTTATCATTTAATATATTTATATTTGAAGTAGTTATGATAATATAACACATGTAAGTCACACAAGTAACAAGTGTCGTTCTAAAATATATAATAATATATATTTTTTGTAAGAAAATTTAAAATAACTTTTTTCATTAATTTTAAAATTTAAGAATAACTAGTACAATGTCCGTGTATTACACGAGTGTTTGCTAATTCTTTTTTCTTAAAATTTAACTTAATGAGAAAAAAGTGGCGGTAAATTTAAATACTTTTTATATGAAAAAATATATTATTAAATATTTTAGTATGACACTTGTTACTTGTGCGTCTTGGTTGTGTTATATTATAATATTTTTGTAACTTATAACACATAAATACATTACACATAAATATATAAATTCATAAATAATTTTATTAACCAAGTGGTTCTGTAGTTGACGTGGGCTGGGAAGTAGCATCTTTGGCTTGGCTATCCCCCACCACTATGGAGGAGAGGTCAATGTAATCTTTAGAAGTTCAGTCATAAGTATTGCCTCGGGGAATTGATTGCAAGCTCTGGACTACTGAGCCTTGATTCGCCTCTCTTGCTTGCCCTACTGTGTCAAATATGATTAATTTAGTATATTATATGTGTTAAACTTAAACCGATAAATAATATAAAAGTTATCAACTTTTAAAATACATTTACAATTTAATGGTATTATTATAGAAAATGATATTAAAATACAATTAATACATCTAAAATGATCATAAATGAATCAACATATTTATGGAATTCGAACCTAATTATTTTTGGATTGAAATTAAATTAAAATCTATCCAAACCAAATAATGAAGCATGAAATTTTGACACCTAAGATTCCGAAACATGCGAGTCTGCCACTTAGGCTCAGCATATTCAGGAATTATATAAGAGGATATATGACAGATTTTTTAACAAGCACCCATATAATCTTATACAATTGTTTCAACCTTCGGTAATGTGTAATTTTATATGTCGTATATTTTGTTTTCAACTTTTGGTAATGTGTAATTTTATGTGTCATATATTTTGTACATCGTAATTTGTATAATCTTATGTGAGAATTTCAACTTTTAGTGATTCGTAATCTTGTGGGTATTTTTTTAATACTTTGTAATCGTCGTTTGTAATCTCATGTATCGAATTTTTTATGCTTCATAATTATGTATCATATGTGATGTAATTACTTCAAATTTCGTTGTCAAGTTTTTTATAATTCATATATCAAATTTTTTATGCTTCATAATTGTATATCATATGTAATGTGATAATTTCAAGTTTTGGTGTCAAGTTTTATATAATTTGTAATTGTTTGTAATTATATGTGTCAACTTATATTGACATGATTGGTATGAGGGAATGACATGAGAATAGAATGATCATTCCTTATTCCATGATTGGTATATTTTTGGAAAGAAAAATGACCATTCCGATGAGAATGACAAAACTCATCTCCATGGGATTAGTCATTCCATAGTTAATGGAAGGTTTTTCATTTTCATGTGTGTAGGAATCAATTTTTCAAAAAATAAAATTAACAAATAATAATAAAAAATAAATATATAATATATATTATAATAATGATTAAAATATTATTGAATAAAATTATTTTAAAAAATAGAATTCAAATAAAAATATTAAAAACTTACTTTTATTTATTGTTTAATTAGATATATTAAATACTTATATAAAAATAAAACTAAAAAAAGTATTTATATATAATTTGTAAATATATTTTTTTTATATAATTAAAAATATATTATTTTTTATATATTAAAAATAGATTACTTTGAAAAATATATTATTAAAAAATATTAAAAATATATATTAGTAGAAATATATTACATCTTATTTTTATATATTATTAAAAACATATTATTTTAAAAAATTAAATGAAAATAAAAATTGAAAATATACTTTTATTTATTTTTAATTAAAAAATAAAAATATAATATTGTTAAAAATATATTACTTTTTCTTTTTAGATTTTATTAAAAATATATTTTTTTTATGTATTAAAAATATATTACTTTTAAGAATATATTATTTATTATATATAAGTTAAAAATATATTATTTTATTTTTCTATATTTTCAAAATATATATTATTTTTTATATTATTAAAAAATATATTATTTTATGTTATGTTATTAAAAATATATTATTTTATTTTTATATATCAATGGAAAAAGCATTTATATATAATTTATGAAAAATATATTATTTTGTAAAAAAAGATTTTATTTATATTTGTAATAAAAAACGATAATGTCATTCCATTCATGTCTTATTCCTTCTGCATACCAAATGTATCAATAACAAAACTTGTTTCATTCTATTTCCATAATCATTCCATTCTTCAATTCATTCCATTCCTACGACATTTATTCCATTATACCAATCAGGACCTATGTGTTAATGTTTAGTGATTTTCCATGTCGATTCGGAATTTATCTATCTTTGATTTTTATAATTATTAAATATTAAACTAAATTAAATTATAATATATTTAAAAGTTTGATAAATTTTGTATTCATTATTAATTTTTGTATACAATATGCAATTTACTAATTATTTTATATTTGAATTGAAATCTATATGGCATATATAAAATAAATATAATTATATTTAAATTTATAAATAAAAATTATATTTAAATTACCCCTATTTATAAAGTAAATAACTAAATATCACTCGTGTTGCTTTGGCAACTAACAAAGTAGGAGCGCCCTATTAGCTGGGCCCGGCCAAATAGCCCGCCTCAAATGGCGCAACAGCCAAAGATGCATTATCTCTCTCTCAATCCCGCAGGAAAACCGCGGCCCAAAATGACAAATTCCTCCGCCGTCACAACCCTATTCCGCTGCCTCGAACTCCCCACCACAGGCTCCGACCCGGCCGACCGGTCGCTGCCGAACCTATCAAGTGAAGAGCAGTCGTTACCTTCCCGGTTCCTCCAATGACGTGGCGTGCTCCTGGCTCTCCAGCTCAGGTGGAGCTTAGCAATCTGAAGCTAAGGCTGCTCGGCTGGTTCAAGGAGAGAGGTGTTGCGTGCTGGGGCCATACAGGTCCGGAGTCCCTTACATATCTTCAATTACCCTCTAAAATTCCCTGGTGTTGAGAGAAGTAAAGTAGGAATTGGTTGGATATATTTGGAGAACTAGGACACGGAAAGCTCTTATACCAGCTTCGATCAGGATGTGATTATGGATTTTCGAGGGCAACGAGATAAATTTAGTTTGACAAATTGCATCCATGTCTGGTTCGAGGAAATAATGTTTTAGACTACTTTGTCTCAGTTGTCTCCACTCAGCTTTGTTGGGAACTTAGAAACTCCGGCTCATCTGGGATGCAAGATGAATTTGCGGCTGTTTCATTTCATTTTATTTGTTTTTTTTGTTAGTGTTCTGTTCTACTTTTATGTGCTGTAACATGAGACCCATATTATTTTTTGTGGAAAAATGTTGTAGTGACAGTCTTATCATTGCTAAACTAGTTCTGCTTATTTTCATCTGTTTTTTACTGAATTATTGTCTTTGGATACTTCTCTCTTTACTGTAATTCGTTCTATTCACGTTTTGCTCCGTGAAGGTTCAATCTCAAAACCTTCCGGGATGTATACTACCAGTCAATGAACTTATGTTATTTGTAAGTTTCTGATAAACTTAGCAACTGTAAAGCCGGGGGTTCTCCTAGTTACTACAAAGCCTAGGGACCCTTTTTTTTTTACTATTATCTTTTTTCTGTGCAGCATAAGTGTTTTTGTTACAATTCACTAATGTACCGGTGTTCTCTTCTAATTTTTGTGATTTAAGATATTTGATGAGAATGTGCTTGCATGCAGCCACGGAAATGCGGATGTGGACGTGCAAGCCTCCTTTGAGAAGAAACACGTTTCCTTATTTCCGTCTTTGTTTTTTGTCTTGCATTTTCTTTATGTTTTAAAGTTGTTGTGGTAAAGGCGCTAGACACTTATAGTAGGGTGCCTGCACTTTCTTTTATTTTGTTCGTTAGACGTCTTCTACGTATCAATTTATGATTGGTCATTGGTGCTTTTAAGTGTGATAAATGTGAGCGGAGGGTCGTCGTGGTAACAGATTTTTCCTGAGCTTGAAGCTCGACCTCTAATGGTGATCCAAAATTACTGAGAACCAAAATATTTGTTTACGCAAATCATGCAAATTCACTATTCTACATGGTACTAGAGCAGGTACACTGAAAGAATATGGCGCGAAACAGAGACAAACAGGGAAAGGAGATTATTGGTAGAAATAGCCATCGAGAGATACAGATCCACTGTCTCTCCATGGATCGGACCATCCTGTCATGGTGCTTGTCACAAATCAACTAACAGACACGCTACTATAAGTGTCTTGTGCTTTTCTCGTTCCCTAAATATTACTGCTAAGGGAACAAACTAGAATCAGGGAGACATTATCGCACATTACAGTTTCAGGCAAGCTGTTCAGACTGCAGATTGTCTCCTTTCATTGAATTATTTATACCGTGTGATCCATTGTCGGTTTTAACTATGTACAGGATGAAGTTCGGTAGCAAGTTTAAGGTGATACATTGTTTCTTATTTCTCTATCATGGAATATGAGCTCTTTCTTTCTGAATTTTGCTTAAGTTTTCTACCAATTACTTGGGGAAAAAAAATTACGCAATTTCATAGACTCTTAATTCAAGGCCTTATATCAACTGCAAAAACTTAGTTTAATCATCAAATTGTGATTGTTTCTGGATTTGTGAACAGTGGACAACGTGCATTCACAACTAATATAATCATTGACTGAACTCTAATACTCTGTGATGCATTTATTGGCTTCTTTTGTTTCTTGGAAATGCGTCTCTTTGAATTTTACCTTCACGTGGAGAGGGTTTGGATAAGGTTAGATTCATCCCATTTAAAGGAAATAACTTAGGCAACCGTTGCATAACTATAAAGTATGAGAGAATTTTTGTCTTTCGTTTGTTCGTGTATAAAATAGGAAAGATATCTATCAATGACAATGTCACATCAATTTGTGTCTCTTTTGTATTTTACACAAATATTATTTTATGCATATTTTCTTTAAGCTTATGCATCTTGTGTCATAATGGAAATTGAGAAGGAACCAAGTTGATGTCAGTGTTTGATTTTCCTTTCCACTTTTATCCACATCATTTAGGGGTCCAAAGCAAGTATTCAGCTGTGCGTGTTTCCTCTTTCCTTTGTAGAGAGGGTTTTAATTAAGCAATGGTTGATGCTTATTGCCATTTTGTACAAGAACAAAAATGTTGTTTTAGGAGCAATTGTATTTTTCTTTTTTTCGGGTTCAACACATTAAGCCTGCACCAAACCAACCCTGGCAGTTTTCTGATCTTCAGAGAATTACTCTCCAGATAAACTTTACATCTACCACGTGTCTGAAAATGGAGGAATTTGATTGTGCTAATGATTTTGGGGAGGTGTTTTTGCTGGTATTATTGATCCATATTTGAATGGTCTAGTAGATCTGGATAATGGTTATAGTACTCAATTTTTTTTCTTCCTTTTGCTCTCCTTCTCACATGATACATATAGCAGTTTTATTGTTGATACAAATTCTTATTACTAGTTCTGACCTCAGGTGGAGCTGCTACCTGAGTGAGCTATATGATGAAGTTGGATATTGGATGAAGGCATCTCTGTGTATCTTATTTGAGGGAAAGTAAGATGATTATAAACTGCATGTCATCATACATGTGTAAGTGCGCAATCAACTGATACAATTTTTTCCTTTAACTTGACCCTAATTTTAAGTGCCTAACATTTTAATATCCTGCTTGTTTGTTTAATTAGAAATTATCCTGCATTTTGTATAATGTTAAATAAAAATTTCCAAATGTGGAATGTGTTTCTATATGTATATCATAGCTGGATTCCAGCTATAATGGAATAACAGAATTTTGTTCAGTTCAAATATATTTCCATGTGTTGGCAGAATGCTGACGGTAGCTTATCTGCTCTATAGAATAATGAAGAAGCTGAGTAGGCACCAATGGTGGAAGCCAACCTACGATGGTAGGATACGGTGTTGTGAGCCGGATTTAGAACCCAAAACATCACGAGATTCCCACTTTAATTTTTTAGGAAATTTTTTTTCATCGGATGGAGATGCGGATAGTGCTGGGGTGGGATCCACTGTGGGGCCCCTTCTCGTCATTGATTGTGAAGAACAGGAAATACTATTGCTGCAACGAACATATTATCACAATATTAATTGGTGATATAGCGCCGGATGTAGCCGACCGGGGTGCTGTAATTGTGTATCTTGTATTGCACCAGATTGTAAATTGCAAGTATCGGTTGTTTTTATGCAGAAAAAATTTGCTATAAAAGAGGCGGCACTCTCAAGAATCTTAACGCTGCCTTCGCTTCTCCTCTCTGTAGATTGTGCATTTTGCAGAAAAATTAAAGCACATCATGTCTTCCTCCAGTTCATCCTCAAATGGTACCAATGGTCAGTCTCAATCAGCACCAAAGAGGATAAAGGTAAACACGTCATCTTTTATTTTTATAACTTTTTCGGCGAATTTCGATATCGATGTTCTTCATTTTTGAAATTCGAGATTTGTTTCTTTTGTCAACTTCAATCTATGTGTTCTCACAAAATCAGTTCCTAATATCCAGCTCTGTGAGTCCTCTGACAAAAATGGGGGCGATAACCAACTAAGCAACATCCCTTTGCCGGTACTTGCAGGTCAGATATTACCTTTCTTTCCTTTTCCGTTTTCCTTTTCTTTCCATTGATGCATTTGTGGGAATAATTTGTCTCTATTTCCCTCATGTGGGGTTACTTTTCTTGGTTTGTCACTCGCATCTAATACTTAATGTAAAAGTTGTTTTTATGTGATTTCATTGGTGGTTTTCTATAATTTTAACCTTTTTTTTTATGCAAATGGTAAAAAATTCCTGCAGCTGAGTTGCAACGTCGGTTTTTGAACCAACAAATGATGGCAAATCTGGCTCAAAACCAGCAGCAGCAGCATGGTGTACCACCTGGCTGTCAAGGTGCAAATACTGTGATGGCCTCCTTGGATGTCGAGCCTTCATTTGATAACTTCCCTTATTATATAAGGTATCACTTTAAAGAGTTAACACACTGGATCTATTTATTCGATATGATCATTTTAGGAAATGACGTGTTAAATCTGTGCAATAATGTAAGCCCCATTGGCTTATCACAGTATGCACGATATGATCATCACTAATTTCTTGGCTTTGTATATAATCTTTTTGTTTCAATGTTGATATCACATTTGTACTACGATTTAAATGTTTCCATTTAGCATGGAGGCTAAAAGGATGAAATGACTCATTAAAGTATGTGCAATAATGATAGCTCCATTGGTTTATTATATTATATGCACGCACTTCGCATCACTTGTTTCTCGACTTTTTCAATGTGTATAAATTCATTGGCTGCGTACTGGAGATATTTCCTTTGTATTATTAATGCAGTAAAGAAATAGAATATGAACTGGTCAGCTCACATTTCCTACATATGAAGAACAAAAGCCAGCATAGTAAGGCCAAGCGTCAGCGTACCGATCATAAACTCTTGTTGTGGGGTCCAAATGGTGCGTGAGAAGCGTCTTCTATTTAATATGTTAATCTTTTACATTTAATAATATCTATCACGAATGCATACTTCTGGTATATTTTAGGTTCAGACATCTATCAAGAGACTCTAGCGATGGCACTTGCCCTGCACTCTGGGGCCAAGCTTCTTGTACTCGACTGTCAATTGAATCAAAGCGTACGGAAATCAGAAAATCTGCCTTACTTTACAAAGAAAAGAAGAAATACAATTATTTATCCATTTCCTGTTACCCATATTTTGTATAGTGTTGGTTCTTTATGTATTGTAGGACTTGCCTGCTTTTGGCAATGTGGGTAGTAGTGCCTTGAGATTCGAAGCCAAACAATTGAAGTGTACAACTGTGCCTACAAATGGAGTCTCACTGTCAGCTCCCAAAAAATCTAAAAATCAGATTCTGAAGATAGGTACTCCACTGTTTTTGCTCTATAAAACAAATACCAGAGTAAATGATTTGAGATGTATGGTTAACTTTGAAGATTTTGGAATTTAATATTATTCATGCTGACATGCAAAGCTACTTATGCAGGTGATAGAGTGATTTATACAGGACTCAAGAATCAAATCAGCTCAACCCTGGCCAGGTACTACCAGTCAATTGTACACATTCAGCATCAAGCGCTTTTGTTTTCTTTATGATCATTTGTTAACCTCTAGTTTTAGTTCAACTAAATTGCTGAACACCATAGTTACATTTGCTGGCATTTTGTGTCTCCTAATTGACTTTGATTGTGTATAACTAGTTACCCGGCTTGCTTCACCAATGGTTTGGGGTTTCTTTTGTTATTGAACAGGGAAACTATTGAATGGTGTTTGTTATTCATGAGATTCATAATTTTGTCATATATTCTGAGGGAAGAATCTCCTAGCTTATAGTGATGCATTACTTTGTCTTCTGAAAAAAAGGAAGGGGCCCGCTTTTGGAATGCGTGCAAAAGTTGTTTGCTTTGAGAAAAAACCCAAAAAAGTGGGCGTGAGGTTTGATTTTCCTATTTCCGAGGGGACAAACCTCGGGGGTCTATGTGAAGAACACATGGGGTTTCTTTGTGATGGTAAATTTTCCCATCTTTTTTTTTTTTTTTTTTTT